GACCTTTTTATGCCAACCACGTTTTCAGAGATGTGGTGTTAGTTGGATTTTATGACGATCAAATTTTACAATATTTCCAGACGTAAAAAAATCAATCACATCAATTGATCATCCATCGTTTACTCATTTTCATTGCTAATAATCAATGGCTAGTCAGTTGATTACTCATTGGTTACCCGTCAATTGGTGTCATTGATTATCGATTAGTTACATCTAATATTTATATTCCTTATAACCTTATGGTTTTTTTCTCTAATTTTGAAACCAATTTTGGAGCTGTACTGACTTTATGCCAAGATTCTTGAAAGCCAAGCCTGAAAGCGGAACTCCTAATTACAATAAATTAACCTGGCTTGAGCCTGCGATCCAATCAAAAACCACGTGAGCTTTAAGCCTGAGCCCACGATATGGTCACGTGATACTGGTCAGCGAATACGTTGTTTGTCAATTGACCATAACATGGATGTCCAATATCAAAGATGTATGCTGTAAACCAAGGCCACCAGGTTGTCCGACGTCGTCGTAGGGCGCACGGGACCACGATCTATGCTCCTAGCCATATTGACATGAAAAAAGAGTTGCATGGTTTTCATGCAGTTGGTTCTCTTCCTATGGATATGGTGATCGGTGTGGCGGCCCCGGCCGCCGAAGCTCCGCTACAACAAAGTCCTTAGTATAATTAACAATTATTCTTTGAAATCGAGGTGAATTGTGGCAGAATATTTACCGAACCGCGAAGCGGCCAGGTAAATATTCTGCCGCTATTCACCGAGATTAAAAAGGGCAATTGTTTTAGTATATACGCAGGAAGTGATCTCAAAAACAGACGAAAAGGAAACGATTAAAAGTCGATTTAATTAACCTCTGAATTCATGCGTGGAAAACGCATAAACGGCACGAAGCATGCGCGAAACTATTAACAAAATTTTCAAATATGACAAATCTAGTTAACCTTCGAGAAAAGCCTCGTCACAATTTAGCAAAATGGTCTTTTTTTGACTTGAAATTTTCAGCATGGATATGAGCTAAAATTAGCTCCAATCTACTCAAAAAGGTATTTGCAACATCAAAGAATGGCTTCCTTTCCACTAGCACTAGCATTTTTTTTT